TAAATAATTTTTGTGCTATGTCCCGACTTTCCAGTCAACAACAGTTGGATTTTTATGGCTGTTCTTAGGAATAATAATGGAAGTAAGTGTACATTTGCTAGAACTTCCTGACTTTAGCTTTATGGAAATTCATTTTTCATTGTTGTTGTTTCAAGGAATAATAAAAGTAACCCCTCACTTGTTTTTGGTAGAGAATCACGACTGTTTTTCTTTTTTCTTTTTAAATTAAAAAAAAAATTTATGTGTATGAATGTATTCCTGCATGTATGTAGGTGCACTGTGTAGTGCAGTGCCCACAGAGGTCAGAAGAGAGTATCAGATCCCCTAGAACTAGAGTTATGGACAGTTGTTAGCTGCCATGTGGGTGCTGGGATTCGAACCTGGGTCTTCTGCAAAAAACACCCAGTGCTCTTAACTGCTGAGCCATCTCTCCCAGCCCCATGAGTGTTTTTCTTTAATACTTATATTTGTTCTAGGAAGAATTGTTTGAGGACACATACCACATAGCTTAGATCTGAGTATGCTATAGGTCTAGGTTTGTGTAAAGTATACTCTACACTGTACATCAAAGAACCACCTAATGACACATTTTACAGAATGTCTCTCTACCGTGAAATGACACGTGACTTTGTATTGTTTGACTCCTTCAGAAGTCCAAATTAACATTCTCCAAAGGCTGTCTTGATCATCACAAAATAATATAGATTCACTAATGTTTTTACAGTTAGCTTTTGAGTTTCCTGGGCCTTTGTGACTCAGCTTCATCATTATCACAGTAGACTGTGGGTATTCATCTAGAAGTTCAGAGTCTGGATGCTGGTAATCTGCTTTCTTGTGAACCTGCAAACAGCACTTTCTGGCTTTAGACTTACTAGCTATTCACTTTTCATTGTAGTTCTTAGAAATAAGAAAAGTAGCCCCTCAGATTTAGTTTTAATTAATTTAATTTATTTTTATGTCTTTTGAGTATTTTGCCTGCATGTATGTTAATGCACCTGTTGTGTAATGCCTGCAGAGGCCAGAAGAGGGCGTTGGATCCCCTGGAACTGGAGTTAAGGATGGTTGTCAGTCTTCATGTCAGTGCTGGGAACTGAAGCTGGGTCGTTTTAGAGCAGCCAGTGCTCTTAACTGCTGAGCCATCTCTCCATCCCCCCCCCCAAATACCTCAGATTTTAGTGGT